TTTCGAGACGCGCGCGGCTCGCAGCAGTCGGCGACTGAATGGACGAGAGAAAAGAAACACGACGTCTAACACACAGAGACCGAAAGGAAAAGTGAGAGAGAGGAATTGACGGATGTAATAAAAATCCGCGTCGACGCGCGCGACACGACGTCCGGACGCGCCACGCGCGCGGCCGCGCCTCTGCGACTAGCACAACAGCAGCCAGCAGCAGCAGCGCGCGGCCGCCACGGTGGCCGGTGTCCGACGCGGTCGTCGTCGAAGTCGCTCGCGTGGGGGACGAGCGTTTAATAATATCCGAGACGCTCCGTCCCTCGTTGAACGTTGAAATTCTCATTCTTCGAACGAAGAAAAATATTATATGCGATACGGAGTGCCGAGACGCTTTGACGCGATCACGCATCCCGCTACGAGCGGGAGCGTCGATTCGGCGTTAGCGCGAGCGAACCGGTGGTAACCTAAGCCTTACGCCGCTCACCCTCAACATGCTGCTACGTTGCGTGTCAGCACTCGCCGTCGCTGCGCGCCCTCCCCGCTAATAGCCGGGGCAGAGGCCAGCGCGCGACGCGCGACGACCGAACGTGCGCGTGAGGTGTGTGGCTGGCGGGCGAGAGGATGCCCCATACGTGGGCGCGTCCGATGGTTTATTCAAAGAATTTTCCGCCCCGGCTCTTCGCCCGTCGAACGGCGGGCGAAGTGACGCTCCGATCGCGCGAGAACCAACTTTGTGCCGTAGCCTCGATCCCTCTACCGGGATTGCGGCGGCGGTCCGCGCGTGCTCGGACGCGCGGCCAGGCTGATCGTAGGGCCATGATTTTCTCACTCCTCGGAGTGGAGACCACGATGGATGAACTGTGAAGCGTTCGACGAACGCGAAACGAATGAGAAAAACGATTACCCTGAACGGTGGATCACTTGGCTCGTGGGTCGATGAAGAACGCAGCTAATTGCGCGTCAACTTGTGAACTGCAGGACACATGAACATCGACATTTCGAACGCACATTGCGGTCCACGGATACAATTCCCGGACCACGCCTGGCTGAGGGTCGTTTTAACAAACCTAAACTGCTTGCGCCCCCCTTACGCGAAATTGCGTAAACGGCGTACGAGCGATCGTTGGACGTTCGCCCGAGAGAGAGACGCGCGCGCACGAGCCTCCGTCGCCCTCCCAGTCCTCTGGTATTGGAGACGGGTTTAGACGAGGCCGCGCCGCGCCCTCCTTGGCGTCGTCTGAAATGACACCGAAGGTGTATGTGCAGCGAGAGGAGTTATATAAAAAAAGGGAGGAGATAAATAAGAGAAAGCCCGCCGAAGCGCGTGTACGCACAAAAAGCGTTTATAAAAGAAAGGATAGCGGAAGCGCGCGAACGGCGCCCGGAGAATGTCGAAAAATATCTCTATATATATATTATATAGAAAATAGAGAGAGGAGAGAGGAGAGTTGTTCGTCGGAGAGATAAAGAAACCGACGACACACGAGAGAATATGCGAAAACTATTACGAGAGGAACGACGACGACGACGCGCGACACTCGAATCGTCGCTCTCTACGAGTGATCTCGTAGTTTGCGAAACAAATGCAAAAAAAGAAAGCGAGCGGGCGCCAGAGCGCCAAGCATCATTCTGCGTCCGTCTTTCTAGCGCGTCGTTGTTTCTTCCGATCGCGTCGTCGCTCCCGCGACTCTCCTCTATCTCTCTCGGTGCGCCAGCGCGCGCGCGATACCGCGCCTTTTACACACGCGCGAGGCTGCTTTCGCCTCCTGTCTCTCGCGGCGCGAGATAATGATACCCCTTACGGTAAAAGTATATTGGAGAAGGGAAACCGGCGCGCGCACAGTCGTCGTCCGCCGGCGGTACGCGGAGGGAGAGAAATTGCGAGTGAAATATCCACCCTTAAAGCGGATGGAATCGCGAGCCGACCGCGTGTCCGAGTCCACGAAATTTTCGAACGAAGATTGTGACCGGCACGCGTCCGTCGTGTACTCGTCGAATCGATTCCATACCGCGCCCGTTATATATACACACGCCGCCGCGCGTGTTATATTTATAATCGTGGAAATTAAGAGGGACGGAAAACTAATACAATAAACTCTCTCCTCTCTCGCGTCCCCGCGAGAACCAAGACACTAGATTGTGCCGCGCAATATCGGTGGTGTGTGTGCGCGGTTGTTTAGCGCTAATAAGATGTGTGGTATATAACAATTTTGAATAATTGAAAAAGTATTATATTACTACTATTAGCTAGCAAAATAACCCGCACACTCTCTCCCTATATATCTCTGTATATCTTCTTTGTTGTAGAGGTTTCTCTACAAAATTCTCTGACGACCTCAGAGCAGGCGAGATTACCCGCTGAATTTAAGCATATTATTAAGCGGAGGAAAAGAAACTAACTAGGATTTCCTCAGTAGCGGCGAGCGAACAGGAAAGAGCCCAGCACCGAATCCCGCGGTTCCGCCGCAGGGAAATGTGGTGTTTGGGAGGATCCGCTTATCCCGAGGCG